ATAGATTTTACTATTTGCAAACATTTTCCCTTTAAACAATTTTTCTTTATTTTAATTTTCATATCTGTACACGAGAGTATGCAAACCTTTAAGGAATACTGAATCATTGAATACTTTTCTCATCTTGAATAAATATTACTTATCTTGTTTTGAGTTTTAGTAAAATAACTTGCACTAGACATACAGTACATAGAGACAGTTTAGGTGTTTAATTACATGAATAAAAATCATTTTGATTAATTAATCTGATTTCAAAATAAACATAATTCATATGTCATTACAACCTGGCGTTGGGTCGTACATGTATTTATCTGTCATGTTTGATACCATTTGTTAGGACATTGCTTTTATACTAATTTTGTCGTCCTAATGGAGCATTGGTTAGAGCGTTTGCTCTAGAGTGGCTGAGTAATGAGTTGCTCTTTACGTTGAGGGTTCGAATTCACTGTGTAAGACCGGTTCTTTGAATGAGACCGTATAAACTGTCCAAAGGCCGTAAGTGTCGAATACAGGTTTAAATTTGCAGCCCTCCACCGGCAGATGGTGGCATCTCAATATTGGTGAAAAATTCTCCAAGGAATGTTAAACAAACAATATACTAAATTAGAGTACAGAATACTCAGTATACCTTTTCAATACATAGGGCTTACAAAAGTGTGACCAGTCAACAGGGGAAGCGTGTTTTTGCCCTGTTCATATGATTTGTTTTGTTAAAAGATTAATGAGATTGATCAGTACCGTTTGTTATATTCACAATTTTACTTCAGTCTATTTTTAATTTTAAAAAAAACCCCAGCTTTCGACAATTGCACATCATTTGAGTGCTGTGTTCGATTTAGTGGACTGGTCACGGTAGCCAAGTGGTAGGGCGTTCGCTTCTTGATCGGGAGGCTCGGGTTCGATTCTCGTTCACAGCGCCGTAGTCAAACCTAAGACGTAAACATAGGAAGCTGCTGTTCCTTCGCCAAGCGCCTGGCACTGGAAGTGAAAGTCAAGGGTCTTTCGGATGAGACCTTAGAAACCCAGGTCCTGTGTCATGGTAGGCATTGGCACGATAAAGAACCCTTACTGCTTAATGGCCCAGAGTGCCGAATATATGGAGACGTCTCTTTATGAGTGAAAATTTCTCGAATTGGACTTTAAACAACATACAATTAATCAATCAGTCGATTAAGTGGATAGAATAGAAAAATGCTTTTAACAAATATCAATCCATCAAAGATACTTTTAAACAAGAGGCACAGGGGCCACATTGCTCACCTGAGCACTCTGGCTAGGAAAAAGCAGAAATCAGTTCAGTCTTAAATATAAAAGTGGTTGGGGGTTTATTTCAGCTTGAATCTATACTTCATAGGGATGCTTTTGAATTAATATGACGAATAATGGGATTGTCGTTCTTAAGAAGAAAATTTTTATTGATATATCCTTTGTATAACTATGATCCCCTGTGATGGCCCCTCTATTCTCCTGGTGGGTCATGATTTGAACAAATTTGAATTTATATTACCTGAGGATGCTTCCATTTAAATATGACTAGTCATGGCTTTGCTGTTCTTTGTTTGCTGAGAAGAAATTTTTAGATATTTTCCCAATACATTCCTATGTATAACTTTTATCGCCCATTGTGGCCCTACCCTACCCCCGGGTGTCAGGATTTGATCAAACTTGAATTAAAATCATATATTTAAAAATCCTTGCTAGAAAATTAATAATGTTGATGTTTTTGCGATTCAAAGTTTGAATTTCCCAATATGCATATTTTGATCGCCGATGCTACGCGCCATTGCTGTGACGTCATAGGTGTCAATCCTGGTCAAGAAAAGTACTTAATGTGTATACAAATCGGCTCATGTATTGTTTCTTTTGAACCTGTTAGTAAATAAATAAGTGATAATTGGATAATTGACAGGTAGTAAGGTATAATTTGTGGCTTTAGGATGCACAAATGTGCACAAGAAAGATTTGAGAAAGACTTTTTTTCACATTTCCTGGACTTGGTCGAGAGGTGAAAGGGGGCCCTTTTTTCTGCTGTTTTCTCCATTCAGAGCAATCGTTTATGCCCGATCACGATTTTTTTTCTGTCCTATAAAATATTTTAAGGACATGGTATTTTTTTCATATGGAAAAACGGGTTTTTAAAAAGTCGCACAAAATCTAGTAGGAATGTTGTGACCTTCGTAATGACGTACGGCGCCATTGAACACTGTTGAAGAACTGTGTCATTTCTTGTACGTGATATTCACCACTCTTCACTGGAACAGATAGAAGATATACAGGATTTATATATACATGTATATAGTAATTCGTTCTATTTAGTCGAAGTCCCAAGTTGTCAGCGGCTTCGTCCTCGGTGTCCCCTCCTATTGTCGGCATATTTTCTTGCTTATTTCTCTCTGCTAGACGTTCATACATGAAAGATTGATCGTCCATTGGCGAAAGAATATCGTCGATGTCAAAATTTTCACCGATCTCATTGTGTAGTCTATTTATTTATCGTCGAAATCTATTTGATATATTTTTCGTGCGATAAGCTTTACGAGTTCTAATTGATCATTGACACCTATGACGTTTCAGTACCACGTGACCCTATCTTATTAGTGGAGATTTTTACTTCGAGAACTCTATATTACGGACGTTTTATCGCCTAATTATGATTGATTCTTAAAACTGTTTTACGAGGGTTGTCCGTAAAGTTCGTGGACAAGCTAAAATTTAAATAAAAGTTGTGTCATAGATATTTATTATTAGCATCTTTATAATCCTTTACTATATGTGAATTACAAAATAAAAAAAAAATATTCAATTATAAATGTATAATTACAATTATGACTTGATTATTAGACTCGGGATGGTGATCTGGAGCACAACAAAGTTTTAATTAAAGAATTATTTATCACTTTATACATTTCATTTGTATTTCGTAAAATTCCGTGGAAATTTGAATGCCTTTCACATTATGAGGTTGAAAAAAGTTATAAAGTCAAACCTGTAAAATTTGAACGTTCAAAGTTCCGAAATGGCAGAGAAATCGAGGTCAGAGTTTATTAAGACAGGATCGGCATTGTTCGATAAAGGGACGTTTTCTGTAAAGGTGGAGCAGAGAGTAGTGATAATAATTTTTGTAGACATCGGAAAAACACCAATAGAGACTCCTAATTTCCTTAAACAGTTCGGAAATTGGGAAAGTTGGTAAAGTAAGCCATTCTTTAGTGTTTAAGTGGCACAGGAGATTTTCGGACGGAAGGGACAGTTTACTGGATGACATGCGTGAAGGAAGACCATCTTTCCGACATTGTAGTGCTGTAAAAAATGAAGTTCGTAACGTGACTTTCCGTACATACAGTCGTTTTACGAGGACGGAGGTTTGATGATTTGCAGGATCTGAGACAGGAAGTGTTAAATATTATTTCATGTATGAAACCAGAACAGTTTGTGCACATTTTTGATGGCTGGTTAAAGCGACATAAGAAATGTGTTGAGTTAAACGGTGACAACGTTGAGAAAACTTAAATGTATTTAGCTTTTGACGTCGAGTAACGTTAAGGTTTTTCGTTTTAGTGCTCCGGGTATGAGTGTGTATCTTTCTTGTATCTGATAAAAATATAACTATTTGTGCTTTGTTTGTGTTTAAAAATTGCATATTAATAAACTGAAACCTGAATTTAATGAAATTAATAGTTTCATATATTTTATCAAAGTTTGTCAGTAATTATCAATGTTGTCCACGAACTTTACGGACAACCCTCGTATAATTTAACGATAATTATATGTTTCAGGAATGTAATAGCGTTAACTTTCATTTTTAAGAAATTTAACAGTTTAACCCTTTAATTGATAAAACATCGTTGATATATCTGAATGTCGAATTGAAGGCCACAGCAAATATTTTCTTCTCAAGTAGAAGTTTTTCTAAAAATAAATTCTGCTTCAAAGGAATATAAGAAGAGGTTGGCTAATATAAAAAGCAGAATTAGTGTTCATCGAAATGCCAACAGTTTGTTGAAAGACCTGATCTCTGAAGAATACATATATGTTGTCAAGGAGGAACTTCAGCATCCTTTTAATATCAACTGTAGAATACTTGTACTTTTGTGCAGAATCAGAGCGATTTTGAATAAAGTAATTTTATTGTGTGTAATTAAGGATAAATAAAGACACTAAACTTTCAAAAAAAGTTCGTATAAAGTTTCATAGAGATTCAAAGTATGAAAGTGATTGCTTTAGTAACTATAGTAAACTATAGTTAGCAATAGTAAATATTTGAAAGGTTAACAAAAAATCTTAACAAATGCAATTTTCTATGCAAATGATGCACTGTCTATTTTAAATAATATAAAGATGCTTCTTTTTTGAAACTTTTTTTTAGATTTATTGATTGATTGTATATTGTTTTAAGTCCCATTCGAGAATTTTACACTCATGTACATGTAGAGATGTCACCTAAACCGGTGAAGGACTTCAAATTTAGACCTATACTCGGCACTCAAGGCCATGAGCAGTGAAGGTTTGCCTACCATGACACGGGACCTCAGTTTTAAAGGTCTCATCTGAAAGACCTGTGACTTTCACTTCTAATGTCGGGCGCTTGGCGAAGGAACAGTCACTACCTATCTTTACCTCTTAGGTTTGACGCAGCGCGGTGAACGAGAATCGAGTTTTCAATGTACTTAAACAAAACAAAGAGTCAACACAAAATGTGAGTAGGACAACATGGACCTTTGAAAACATCTGAGGTAGGATCAGGTTCCATGCAGGAGTAAGCATCCCTTGTCGACTATTCACACTCGCTGTGTTCCCCTTGTCATGACTGGGCGAACAGAGAAATCTGAATATAATTCAATGTGAAAATAATGGCCTTACAAATTTTATGAAACGCGTCGGTCAACATTCGACCGAATCGACCACAGAATTTGCAAAATGGGGTACCAAAACCCCATCTGCAGGTTATACGACATATTGCTATATAAGAAGAGAAGTTGAATAAAAAACTGAAGTTATCACACTTATTATGAATTTTATTTGGTTTACCATCAATATCTTTCTCTTGTAATACATCCAACTATAAAACATCTATGTCAGACTCCACTGTGACTTTTATCTCGAGTTCAATGTGTATATCAAATCAACGTATGAATAAAAAATTAATATTGTTAATTGATCAAACTTTGTTCTTGTTAGTTCTAAAATTTATAAGTTTGCTTCTTAATGCAGAAAAATATTATATTCAACTTAAACTTTCTCATCAATTTTAACAAGTTGTTTATACATACATTAAGAAATCTATGTATCTAATATAAATATGAAACGTTTTTATTGAAGAGGGCTGGGTGGTTGTGGCCATTTTCAGACTATATTGATCTCCTTTAGAAGAAGAGCTCCATATAAAGATAAACAAAAATGAACAGATTTTAAAACTAAAATGTATGACATTTTTGTTTGACAAATGACAGTTGACAGCTTAAAATATCATATCTAAAAAATTAAGTTATATCTGATGGTTAATTTGTTGACCCCCCAGGCTCCTTAATACATAGCTATAGAAACATCGTTCAATCAAAATTTTCTACAGAAATGAATTATATTAATTAAAGGCAATAAATTGCAAATATTATGAAAACTTTAACTTCCAAATGGTTTCATAAGTCCAGCGCAATCTTATTCCGCATGTTATTCTTCCCCATTTTGGTGGAAGTCATGACTGTCTTCCTGGCCACTCTTTTGAAATGAGTCGGCATGTTTGACAGAGTTTATGTCGACGTACAATGTTTTGTTTTCGGCTCCATGCAAGGCGGATTTTCCGTTTGAGGGCATGTCCTTAAAATCAATTTCGACGTAAACCATTCCTTCTTTGTTTGTGGCCTGAAAAACAAATTTCAGTCCTTAGACAAAAAGAGTCAACAATGTACATGTTATCAGAAATGCAATTTTATGAATGGTTTATTACATCGCAAATTCGTAGTTAAAAAAGAAAGAATTTTGGAAAACTACTAAAATTAAAAAGATGAGGATAGGGAACAGTGATCGATCTCAAATATCTTTTAAATAATACAAATCTTTGAACAGGGTATAGAAATTTCAGAGGTAGGTTCAAGTGCCTAGGAGAAGTAAGCATCCCCTGTTGATCTGTTACACCCGCCGTGAGCCCTACGTATTCATCAGGTATACGGAATAATCAGTAGTCAAATTTAGTACATGTATAAAAACAATGGCTTCAATCGGTATGAAACATGTCAGTCAAAATAAAGTGAAACTAATCACAATAATTTCTGGTCTAATAATCCTTTCTGATTTGCCTCTTGTATAAATCCCACTGGCATTGATGTATAAACGTTGAAATTCTCCCTCAAAGCGGGAATCCGCTATTTGTTCTCAAGATTTTGTTTCTTACCAAACCGGTAAAGGGGCAATCTCTAAAACGTGACAAACATATCAGAAACTTTACTACAATGAAGGTATGATATGCTGGAAATTCATGTACTTTTGCTGTTATCTGTTTTTTTTTTAATGATTCTCAGAAAGGGAGGGTTTACACCATCCATAAGTCAGGAGCCTCTGATAGGAATATGGAAGAATTAAAAAAAAAACTTTTTAAGAACTGCTTAGCAACAGATGTATGCATATACTATCTAGTGTAGATACTTAGTTCTTCAAATCATGGTTCTCAAAGCTTCGGTAGTCATATAATGTCGTAAAAATTTTATCCAAAGAAGTTATAAAGGGAAATTTTTTTTAAAATGTTCTTCTCAAGAGCAGATTGGCAACGATCGGTCAAAATTATATGTAAGCATTTTCAGATCATTTATATTCAAGTTTATTGAAATCTGGATCAATAGAACAAGGGTGTGACAATAATAGAGACACGTGCTGTGTCCTACTGGCATTTTGGAAATATTTATCACATTGGAGAGAATTTGCTGTATGCTTACTTGTCCAAGCTTATTTGTTTCCTTCTCTGATGGTTTCTTTTCCGTTGCTTGTTTGTCTGTCGAAGTAAATAAAAATGATTTATATTCGTAATTTTAACTTAGTATAAATAAAGTGTCATCGTGATCAGATTGTGTGAGTGTGTTTATTTTTGTTTTTAAAAGAGTTTTGATACAATTACCGTATTTTAAAATATTCACCACCTCAAAATAAAATTTGGACCAACATCGAAGATAATATTGGTCAGAGAAGGTACACATATAATGCTTAAAGTTAATTATTATAATTTGGTTTACGCTGCAGAAATTTTTAGCTGGTAAATAAGCTAAGTGCTCTTTCAATACTCACCCTTTCCTTCTTGCGAAGTACAGACTTCAGCGTACACAGGAATGTGATTCTCTGTTATCTTTTCCTTGTTAACGACAGCGTAAACGTCATTTTCTGAAGTGGGCGTATCATTATGTGCAGGGACTGAAGGTGGCATCTCAATTACGTTGTCGGCAGTGATATAGAGAGTATTCTCAGTCAATTCTAACCCATGGTCTGTAAACATAGTTTACACGCAGGAAAAAAGCATGGTTTTAATGTATTATAAAATTCAAGAATAGGAACAAGTGAAAAAAGTGCTAGAATTAGACTACTGTATATTGCTGCTAAATTTTTATGCCCCCGTAATCGAAGGTTCGAGGATATATAGTGTTTGGTATTTTCGTCTCTTTGTCTGTCTGGTTTTTTTTTTAGCCTTACCGTAGATTTTAAATGGTTGAAGCTAGGACTTTCATATTTTACTTAGGGGTGAATTAAAAAAAAATGACCAAACACAAATTTATCAACCCACACTAAAAATACAGGCAGTGAAAATAGATTTCTATGTCTCAGAATATGTCTTTAGATAGTGTCTAAATACCTGCCAAATATCTCGTTGATATCTCAATTAACAAAAAAGTTATGCCCGAAAATGATGCTAAAATTGTCAGGAGTGCAACACCTTTTTGTGACATTTTGAAATTTCAATATCTTTTGGAGATCTGTGAAATAAATAATAATAGTTTATGTTGAAAATAAAGACTTTCCTAATAATATTCAAAGTATTGAGCTTTAAATGTGGACTGTAGTAACTTTTTTTTAAATCAAGTTGTGGTCATAGCAGATGTTTAAAAAAATGTTATACCATGTCAGGAGTGCAACAGAAAAAATGTAGTGTTGTGAAAAAAAACATCAATTGTAAAATTCTAAAAGAAAATTAAGACAAAATAGAATTTTCAAAGTGTAAAACAATAATTGATATACATTTTAAAACTTAGAAATGTTATATAAATCACAAGCAGCATTAATGAGAGTCAAGATTATGTGAATACCCAATAATGTCAGGAGTGCAACATTTGATGTTTTGCTCCCAAGCATGAAAAAACTATTATCAATATATGATTTTCTGATTTTTATTTTGGAAAATAAAGACACAAAGAACATTTTTACCAAATAGATTTATCAATTACAGGGTCTGTCTATGCTTCAGGTCTATATTTCTATGGTCAGGAGTGCAACACATTTTTTTAACGATTCAAGTTGTGTGACAAAAACACTTCTATTCATGCTTAGAAGTATTCATTAATTAATAATGATCTTTTTGTATAATTTAATGCTAAATTATTAACAGTTTTATTATTAAAATCCTTCCTTTTTCAATTTTATCAATTCAGATGTGTTTTTATCTTTTTTGTGATTGTTTTTTTTAATGAACGTTGAAAATAAACAAACTGAAAAATTGTCCTAAAATTCAAGTAATTCCTCCTCAACTTCACTGAAACAACAGAACAAGTTCTTATGTAATTTTCACTTCACAATTCTACTTTAAAGGTCCCAATGCTTTTGGTCAGGAGTGCAACAAATATGTTAAAATTATAAATCATCCAATAAGAATAAAAATAAAGAAAAAATGATGAGTAGAATATTTCTGGTGGGTTACTGTGTTTGTCCTCTAAAGGAAAATATGCTATGAAATATATTTTATCTTCTAAATATACATTTAAGCCAGTTTTTTGGCATAAATAAGGAATAATTCCAGATAAAATTCGAATTTTAAATACTTTCATCTGTTTTAATTATGAAGTATTGGACTATAAATATTGCACAATTTCATTACCACTTGATGTTGCCAATACTTTATGAATTTTTGTGTACTATGGTTTTATTTTTAAATTTTACTGCAGTCAGGAGTGCAACAAAACTGCTTTTTAATTACCAGTGCTTTTTAACTATCTTTACTGAAAAATAAGTTGAAAAAAATATTTGATACTATTTGATGTTCAAAACACTATGTCTATCAACAAATTACAGAAATTTTACAGTCAATTCAGGGAATAGTTTTCATCATTTCACATATATTTTTAAATACAATTTATATATATTACACTTTGCAAATAATCATGTTTTAAGGTCTTCAAAATATGAAAAACCTGCCGTAAATGATGAAAAATATCAAAACAACAAATTGATTTACAAAGAAAGAATGGGTTATTGTGTGTTATAATTTTTAAAACAATGTTAAATAAATACATATCAGATGTCAGGAGTGCAACACAATAATGTAAAATAGGGTCACTTCAAAATCTAGTATTTTTTGTAAGAGAACTTGTATACAAAAATTCTTTTTGGCTTAGATTTGAAAAAATTGACTTGAACGGTGAAAAAAATGAATTTTGGGGAATTTTATTACTTCATATTTTTTTCATATTAAAACTTTTCAAACCAGAAATGAAAAAATAATGTAAAATAACAATAAAAAAGCCAATTTTTTGTCACATATACAAGAGAAGATACTCAATCAAGGTCTAGATTTAATCATTTATACCCCTTTTACCATTTTGAAGCATAAAAAACTATTATTTCTTGTGATTATGTATTTCAGAAAGTCTTTTAAGGTGTAATGATATTTTTTTTTTTTCAAAATAAATTTTACTAATAAAAATTCTGAAACCTTTTAATCCAATTGTCTATTCTATTGCCACTTCAGGATTTTAAACTAGAATGCATGTGCAATATGATGATACAAGTGAAAAATGTGTTGTGAGTGTCTGAAAAAAAATTCAGTTTGGTGGTCATTTTTTTAAAATTCACCCTTTTTGTGGCCTTCCTTTTAGTACCGAACTTTTTTACCCTATGACCTTGATCTTAAAGTTTTACCTACTTTTAAGAGCTTTAATCAATTATTAACCTTGACCATAACTTTCGAACAATTGGTGCTAGTGCTTTCTTTTAATTTTTCTTGACCTCCTGACCTTAGTGCCTAGGAGTTTGAGCTACTTTAGAAAAATTTCAATCTTGTCTGTAACTTCTAACTAATTGGTATTAGGGCCTTCATATTTCCTGAATGATCATATGCAATAGTTGTAAGATTGTTTCAGTTTATAAAAAACTACCAGACATCGTACTTTTCATGCAAAGAGAACTATATCCTGTATATGATGATTTTTTTAAGATTTAATAAATTGTTATCGAACTACATGTATGATTGGAAACATACCTTTCTCGGGAGTAGTATCGTTTCTTCTGAAAAAAAAAACCCCAAGAAATACTTTGATAGATTTCAGGTGTTATTTGATGTGCTATTCAAGATGGCAAACATTCAATTATAAAAGTAATAGATTTTAAAAAGTAGCAATTAGTTCATGTAGTTTCCAAATTTTAGATATTAAATTAGTAATTCTAAAAACCAACTTACATAGAATTTTTACCTATAAAAAAAGAATAAGTTTTTTTCAGGTTTAATTTACTTCATTATCATAGAAAATATTACGTGGTCTTCTATAAACATCAGATCTTTATGAATTTTCAAGAAAGAAATCCGTTTACAAGTATTTTGTTCAATTTTTTCCTGTACCACTTTTATATACATGTATTTTCATTTTTCTTAATATATATATATATATATATATATATATATATATATATATATATATATATATATATATATATATATATATATATATATATATATATATATATATATATATATAAGAGAAAGCTCTATAATTAAAAGGTACAGAATTTAATATCAAATTCTCTAGCTAGAAAAATAAATAACAGATAAATAATTAATGCAATTTATAACACATTTTTTCATTTAAATAGTATAAATTGGGAAAAAAAGAATTCTAATTGAGTACTCTTTCAATCTATTTAAACGTTATTATAATTAACTGATTAATTCGGAAAAATTCATTAATACGTATCAATATGAATGAGAGAAACATTCAATTAAAATCGTCAACACATACGTCTTTTGTTTCCTCGCATACAAAGAATTCCAACTAGGATTATGGTGGTGATTAGAAATGCTGTTCCTCCACTAATACCAATAACAATAAATAAAAAACTCTCGTCATCTGTAATTAAATGTCTTTTATGAAAATACGTTAAGAGTAAAACAAAGTAAGTTAGAAAGATACGTGAAAAGCATTACTCTGCTCACTTCACTTCCTTTGTCCGTCCAACCTTTTTTGTGCGTGCTTATATGTGTTCATGAGTTTATCCACACTATAATTTATTTATTCCCCAAAACTTTGTAATACCTACACATCACCGCAGAACTAAAGGGAAAGTGAAGGTGGTATATTTTTGCCCCCCCCCCCCCCCTCGGCAAGATAAATTATGATAACATGCAACAAAATTATGTAGACATGTGACTTATCTATGCTAACATGCAATATAAATATGCTGAAATGCAATTTTAATGTTGGTAAACCTACTTACTAACGCCAGTATGTGACTTCATAAAAGCAAGGTGCAACCGAATTATGTTGACATGCGACTTATTTATGTTAACATATATTTTTCAAGATGGGCCTCTTGAAACAAAAAGAGAAAACTAAAAAACATGTTTGGAACCCTTGCTGCTCTTTGAAATCATAGGACGACAGCTTTTTCACTGATTCCACATTTTATTATTGATCTTCCTTTTCGGCTATAAAAAAGTGCACCCATGTTTCGTCATCTATCATGCGATTTTATGAAATCTTTTTTTTTTTCGTGTGTGTGTGTAAAAAAATTTCTTTTATGAAATATATCATTGACACATTTAACGCGTGTTTTCTGTTAGACATTTGTAAGGAAATCAGGCATCTACTTGAAAGAAATACTATTATATTGATTTCCTTTGTCATAAGTCTATAAACTGTTGTTAACTGTAAAGTTGTTTCTTTTTATGATCGGCTTCGGATGACCACAGTTGATTGATTGATTGATTGTATGTTGTTTTACGTCCCATTCGAGAATTTTTCAGTCATATAGAGACGTCACCATATACCGGTGAAGGGCTTCAAATTTGGATCTTTACTTGGCACTTAGGGCCATTGAGCAGTGAGGGATCTTTATCGTGCCAACGCATGCCGTGACACGGGGCCTCGGTTTTTAAGGTCTCATCCTAAGGACCCGCAACTTTCACTTCAAAGTGCCGAGCGCATGGCGAAGGAACAGTTGCTACCCATTTTTTTTATCGACTTAGGTCAGTCGGGGCCGAGATTCGAACTCACGACCTCCCGATCATGGAGCGAGCGCTCTACCGACTGAGCTACCGTAAACTGTGATCACAGATGAGGCATCCGGTTTAAAGGCGAAAAATGACCCCGTAGAAAAAATGACTGGGATCTATTTTGACGTCGAAGCCGTAGAATTTTTTTTTGTAGAAAAAGAACCCTACAGGTCAGTACTAGTTTTCTACATGTGCAACCTAAAAGAAATTGACCTCGTTGAAAAATGACCCCCATCCCAACAGAGTGATACAAAGTTTAAAAGAGAAGGTTGACCAACGTTTGGGTCTCAACTTTTGATTCTCCTACGTTTTTCTGACGAGCACGGGACGAACACACAATTTAAATGTAATATGACAGTATTACATGTGTTTCTATCTTTTAGACCGATTGTGTCCACAGCACAAAATAAAAATCGTACAATATATACGTCACTTTGGCTATTGATTAAAACTGATTTCCGTAATCTTTCTTTAGTATCTGTTTCATATTTGGATATTTTACTGATTTTATTCGTTAATGGCCAACTAACACCTACAGGGTAAACTATTTGAAAAACGGAATGACTTCTGAATCGTCATTTCAATCGCCAACTTCTTAATGTACATGTATTTATGCAGTATTTTTTTTTACTATAAATGGTGTTTATGTGTCCCAACTTATCCCAGTTGATTCGATACGCAAGAGCTTGTTTTACGTACGAACAATTTATAAAACGAGGCAAGCTATTGACAAACAAGTTGATGAAACAATCATATCAACAGTCTCATTTAAAGTCAACATTTCGCAAATTCTATGGTTAATACAATGACCTTGTCAGCAAATGAAAATTACTGGCTTTTTTCATATAAATTATTACGCCATTATTTACACACTGAATTGTCTACAGTTTTTCCTGTTTGCCCGATCATGACAAGGAGCACACAGCGGGTGTGACCGGTCGACAGGAGATGCTTACTTCTCCATGACACCTGATCCCACCGCTGATATGTTTTTGGAGGTTTGTGATTGCTCTGCTCCTGATTTGTATTGCTTCAATAGACTTTTGAGCTTGATTACTGTTCCTTTTCTTCATATATTATTTCCAAACAAAGTATACAGTTTAAAAAGGAATGTGCCAATAACTAGCAAAGTTATTTTGCAGGTGCTACAACTGGTTTCTGTACAACATTGATACAAGCGACTTTTTACTTGTGTAAATGCGACAACTGATTTACGTTTAGGACTGTTAGTTTACGTAACTAAACATGAAAAATACGAAATTATTATCACTTGCATAATAAAGGAAACTAGTTTTTATATCCGCACTTTCTACAGAAAGGCCAAACAAATGACCCAATTATAGGTTATATTTTTTGACAGGGTCATTGATAAGACCATTGAATTTACGAAATGCTGACTTTAAACAAGGTTGTTGAAACCCCTGTAACATCAATTTACATGTATCTGTCAGTAACCTACCTCGATTTAAAAATCAATCGTGCTCTTGGGTATCGAATAAGTTGGTAGACGTAAACTTCATATGCAAATGATAGCGGAATATTACTACATAAATAAGGAAAGTTGACGATGGAAAATATAATTGATAGTTGGTCTTTATCGTTTATAGTCAGTAGAACGTCCAAATATGAAGCAGACGTGGCAGACGTGGCAAACATAAAAAGACCATAAAATTTCTGCATGTCTGAAATATATACAATCGTATTATGTGCATTCAATTTTATTTATAAACAGTGGTCTATGGGAATTTCTTTTCAAATATATAGAAGTAATATAGAAAAATCCATGTATAATGTAAATTCAAGTCTGTTAACATGGTCGTCTGAGAATAGGATACATACATGTAAGAAGAATACTTTTTAAAAAATAAATCTACATTTGAACTGAAAATAGATGGAAAACAATTCTAAAAAGTTATTTAGTTATTTCACCTGCATCCGAATTCCACTCAAGTGAACATAATATTCAGGTACAATGAATCGGAGAAGGGAGAGGGATTGTTCCCCCTTTTCTGAATGTAAAAGCAATTTTTAGTTTGAAAATGTTCATTGAAAGTGTTGTATCCACTCCCTTTTTTATACAGTATAGTTAAAAAAATCCCTCCTACCTGAGTGGACAAGGTGAGCATAATATTCAAGCGCATAGAATTAGGGGCGGGGTGGGGTTTCCTCCCCTTCCATTTTCATGAACGTAAATTTTTTTTTCGCTTGAAAATGTTCATTGCAAGTCTGGTTGCCCTAACCCGAACTTTTTGATACAGTAGAGTAAAAGGAAATCCCTCTTACATCAATAAACTTTTTGAGGGGTCCATTAAAAGGTAACTTGTCATTTTTTCCCCTTTCGATGCTATGCTTGACATTTTTTTTCTACATTGCACCAAAAATAGATTTCAAATGCAAATCTACAAACAATATAATTCTGTGCAAATATGCGAACATGGCGTAAAACACGGACTCCTGGAAATTCCAGAGGTGTGATCAGGTGCAAAGAAGGAGTAAGCATCTTGCTGACCGGTCACGTCTGCCGTAAGCCCTTCGTATTAATCAGGTAGATGGAATATACCGTAGTCAAATTTAGTATAAAAAAAGGCCAAACATTGGTATGAAACAAATCAGCCAGAACACCACCCAGTGATAGGTTATATTTGATAACAAGGTCATTATAACGACAATAGAATTAAAGAAATGCTGACTTTAAATGAATTTGTTGAAATCCCTGTAAAATCAACTTACCTGTCAGTAGTCTTCCTCTTTTTGTTTTTGTTTTTTTTAAATTGATGGTACTCAGAGCATGCTCTTGAGTATCGAATATGTTGGGATACGTAAACACAATATGCAGGTGACAGCAAAGTATTACTACATAAGCAAGGAAAATTGACAACGGAAAAGCTGAAAACATCTCTTTTGTTATATAGTTTATTTGTAAGTTGGCCCTTATTGTCTAAAGTCAGTAAAACATCCAAATATGAAACAGATGTGGCAGACTCTGTAGTGTGTTTTATTTCGAGTTAACTGGAAAATATCGAGTCGACATATGAATGGAATAATTATTATTAATTGATAAAATGTTGTTGACATATCTGAATTGAATATCGAGTTGAAGGCAAGTGCAAGTGTTTTCTTCTTCTCATGTACACGTTTTTGATTAAATAAGCAATACTAGTCCCCTACCGGCAAGTGTAATCTGGTTTCCATTAAGAATTGAAAATGTCATAATTCCGTCAAAAATCAATGAAGCGGAACGAAATGCAAACTTGATCTATAACTAATCAAGGTAAAGACACATACCAAAAATCAGCTCAATATCTGAAAGCGTTTAGAAGAAAATAGCGGAAAACCCTTAAAAATTGAAAAGGCCATAATTGTTGAAATCAGTGAAGCGGAACGAAATGTAAACTTGATCTGTAACTCATCAAGATACACTCACATACCAAAAATCAGCTCAATATCTGCAAGCGTTTAGGAAAAAAGTGCGGAAAACCAAGTGGGACAGACTGACAGAGACAGAGGGACAGACGACAGACAGACAGACGGACGACAGACTCAGAGGAAACCTATAGTCCCCTCCGGTTTCACCGGTAGGGGACTAATTATGCTTCATGGGAATATAAAAACAGGTCGGCTAATGAAGGAGCACAGTTAGTGCCAATCGAAATTCCGACAGTTTGTTGGAAGACCTGGTCAATTCAAAAATTTCCGAGTTCTACTTTTATTGAAGAAGCAGTTATTATTTCAAAAACCCTAGTTTTTGATTTATGGTTTATAAAGTGAAGAAAAGTCTTACGTTTCGATACATTGACTTTGGAAAAATTTGGTGATTCAAATTTTCTGAAAGTTCTTTGAAGTTTTTGGGAACCC